CAAATCTTCTTACAACTCTCCACAAAATATGAAATTTTAATTTTATTTCACAAGATTTTATATTAGAATTGTGTTTCATATTAATTTTCTCTTCATACTAATCGGTTTGTATATATTTTGTTGAACTTTTTCATACAATTTCAATACGTACTTAACTGACCCCTCTCATTGTTTATTCTTGTTCATTTCTACAGAGTTTTCCACACAATGGAAGTAGGAGCTGCTCTTATAGCTTCTACCTTTGAATGGTTAATCAATAAGTTGGAGTCCGAGGCCACTGATTGGTTTGAATCAAGAAAGGAGGCACGTGATGCATTAGAGAATTGGAAAAAACTTTTGCCAAACATACGCCATGTTCTTGAAGATGCAGAGAGGAAGCAATTAACCAATAATGCTGTAAAGACATGGCTTTCAGAGCTTAGAGACATAGCTTATGATATGGAAGATGTCCTGCGCGGAGTCGAAGCTGATGCACGGAGGCAAAAATTGAATTTAAAAACTTGTGATCAAGCCAGCACCAGTAGAGCCAGAAAACTTATCCCAACACCATCATGTTTCCCTGGTTGTAGCTGTATTCCCGGTGATTTCAAGGTTGATCGGGAGATTATGTCCAAGATAAAGGGCATTACTGATCAATTGGAAAAGATCAAGGAACGGAGAGATGCATTGAACCTGAAAATTGAAGATGGAACCAACAGGGCAGTTACACAAAGAACTCCCACTACTGGGGTGCCTGAAAGTCATGTTTTTGGCCGGGAAAAGGATAAGGATGCTATTCTTCAAAAGTTGTTAATTAATGAAGATAGTACCAAATGCTTTTCTGTGATTCCCATCGTTGGAATGGGAGGATTAGGGAAGACTACACTTGCCAGTCTTGTTTATAATGATGAAAAATTGCAAGGTGTGTTTGGGCCAAAAGCATGGGTTTGTGTCTCTGACGAATTTGATGTTCTTCGAATAGTAATATCTATTTTGGATCAAATGAATGTGAAATATGATTCAAAAGATCATGCAGTGATTCACAACAAGCTAAAAGAAATGCTGTCTGGACAGAAGTTTTTACTTGTACTTGATGATGTTTGGAACATCAACTATCACCTCTGGAGCAGATTACAAGGGCTTTTCATGTCAGGAGCACCCGGAAGCAAAATAATTGTTACGACACGCGATGAGACAGTCGCGGGAAGCATGAGAGGAGATGATTGGGTTTATCATCTTGGTTTGTTTCCAGATAATGAGTGTTTGTCATTATTGGCCAGACATGCACTAGAAAGAGAAAATTTTGATTCATATGGGAATCTCAAAGGAATTGGTGAAGAAATAGTGATAAAATGCAAAGGTTTGCCTTTGGCTATAACAACCATTGGAGGGCTCCTTCGTGGTGATCAGTTAAATTCTAACAAATGGAGAGAAGTATTAAACAGTGAGATATGGAAAGTATCAGAAGAGAGAGGTGGAGTTCTTCCAGCTTTGAGATTGAGCTATCATCATCTTCCTTCTCATTTGAAACAATGCTTCGCCTTTTGTGCTATATTTCCGAATGATTTTGAGCTTAATGAGGGTAATTTGGTGCAATTGTGGATGGCGCAAGGGTTTTTTCGACAACATCAACAGATAGATGGAATGAAGGAAATGAAAAGCCTGGGTCATCAATACTTCCGTGATTTGTTATTGAGATCATTTTTTCAACGATCACGTAGCAATTCATCACTCTTTGTCATGCATGACCTTGTGATGGAGTTAGCCCGAGATGTTGCTTCAGAAGCTTGCTGCCAACTAGATATGTTAGTCAACAAGAAACTAGAAGTCACTCGCCATCTTTCATTCTTTCCTGGTGAGTTTGATACTTATCAAAGATTTAAAATGATGGAGAAAATGAAGAGTTTGCGGACATTTGTGCCAATTACCCGACGATATGGATTGCACTACTTATCAAATGAAGTGGTGCATTATTTGTTTTCAAGCTTGAAATGCTTAAGGGTGTTGTCTTTCAATGGTTATCGCATAGAGAAGGTTCCAGATTCAATTGGAGATTTGAAGCTTTTATGCTATATTAATTTATCTGGCACTCAAATCCAAAGTCTACCTGATACTGTGAGTTATCTTATATACTTACAGACATTGATATTGAGACATTGTACGGTGCTTACTCAGTTGCCAAAGGATATCGTGAATTTAGTTGACTTGCTTCATCTTGATATTGCTTATACAGAAGGTTTAAAGGAGTTACCATCAGGAATTGGTGGGCTGACAAATCTTTTGACTCTACCCAAATTTGTTCTTGGAGGTGGGTTGAGACTAGGAGAGTTGAAAAACTTGAAGCAACTTCAAGGCGATCTACTCATCTCAAATCTACATAAAGTCTCAGATTTTCGAGATGCCAGTGAAGCCAACCTTCATGAGATTGAGGGCCTTGATAAGTTAATCTTGCGATGGACTAGTGATTTCCAAACTTCACGAGATGTAAACAATGAAGAAAAGGTACTTTGTCAGCTGAAACCTCATTGCAATTTGAAGAAGTTTACAATCGAGTTCTTTGGTGGACAAGAATTTCCATCTTGGATAGGTGATCCATCATTCTCCAAATTGAAGTACCTACAACTATATTGTTGTCAAAACATCACTTTATTACCATCCCTTGGGAAATTACCCTTGCTAAAAGAATTGATCATAGGAAACATGCCTGAGTTTACTGGAGATAACTCCTTTTCTGGTAGTTTTTCATCACTAAAGAAGCTAACATTGAAGGACTGTCCCAAGTTGATTGGAAAATTACCTAGCAACCTTCCTTTTCTCAAAGTTCTCGTGATTGAAAATTGTCCTCAATTAAGTTGTTCACTACTGAGTCTCCCATCACTTAGAGAGTTGAAAATAATAGATTGCAATGAGGCAGTTCTTAGGAACATAATGGATGTCACTTGCCTCACCTTTTTGCAGATTACGAGAATTCCAAAACTTGCCTACTTGCATAAAAGCATAACACAGTTCTTGACCGCTATTGAAATAATATACATTGAAGAATGTTATGAACTTACTTGCTTGTGGGAGGACGGAGCTAGCCTTGCCAGTCTTGAGTGTCTGAGGATTGAGGAGTGCCCTCTACTTGTATCGTTGTCAGACCTGCCTTTTAGTCTTAAAATTTTGAGTTTAGAACGGTGTGATAACCTTGATTGCCTACCTAATGAACTACATGCTCTCACTTGCCTTGAGGAATTGTCCATACAAAAATGCAACAAATTTGCGCGCTTTCCAAGAACTGGCTTGCCATTACATCTCAAAAAGCTTCAGCTTGAGGATTTGGTGGTTTTGGAGTCACTGCCTGATGGATTGATGAAAATAGGGGATGGAGGCAACAATATGCTGCAACTTGAAGAATTAGTCATTAGAAGATGTAAGCAGCTCAAATCTTTTCCTAGAGACAAGTTACCCAGCACTCTAAAAAGGCTGAAAATCGAAGATTGTGAAAACTTAGAGTCCTTACCAGAGGGAGTGAATCTTGAACATTTGAAGATTAACAATCTCCCATCTCTAAAGTGTTTTCCTAGTTCCAAATTACCAAGTGCTCTTAAGATGCTGAAAATTAGCAATTGCAAGCAATTGGAGTCACTTCCAGATAGGTTGTTGCAGGATTGTACACAACTTAAAGAGATGCGGATTGAGCATGTGGAAAATCTCAAAAGCTTACCTATTGACTTCATGCACAACCTCAGCGGTCTTGTTGAATTAGAGTTATATTCTTGTGAAGGTTTTGAGTGCTTGCCACAAATGGACCCGTCGTCCGTCCCCAATCTTAAAACTTTGAAGATTGTGAATTTGAAGAATCTCAAGTCTTTACCCAATGAGATGTGCAACCTCACATCCATTCAATGTTTAATGATATGGTGTTGTCCAAGTATCGCATCCATACCAGAAGGAGGTTTTCCTTTAAACCTAATAACACTTGAAATCAATCGTGAAGGCTTGAGGCAGTCGATGTTAGAGTGGGGCCTCGACAGACTTACCTCACTCGAATCATTTCAAATTGGGGAGATATGTCTTCCGGATAATTTGCAGCTTCCGGAGTCTCTAAAAAGTCTTACTATAATGAAGATGAGTAATTTGAAATCCATACCAAAAGTCCTCCTTCAAAACCTCAATTCTCTCGAGTGTTTACGTTTTTCTGGGTGCCCAAAGCTTCAATCCTTGCCTAAGGAAGGCCTACCCACCTCACTTCAACAGTTCCAGCTCGATGGTTGTCCGCTTCTAAAAGAACGGTGTTTGGAGGAGAAAGGAGTCTATTGGCCTCGCATTGCCAACATCCCTTACATTTGGCTTTTGAGCTAAATTGGAGTCGGGTACAGTAACATATTCACAAATTCACCATATTCTTGAAAAAATCATATTTTGTTTGTTTTCGGTGTAATTTATAGGTCAATTTGGTGCAGGTCTTGCAGTTGGTAGGGAGTTTTCTGTCATGCTTCAATCTTAACCTATTCATGGTCCATTTGTTTGCAAAAACAAATTTGTATTTTGAGAAAAGATGTTTGATATAGATTCTACCAGATTCTAGTATATCTATTGAAGTATAACCTGGATGATTCAGCTTTCTGACATGTGGGGTTTTGCCGTCGGTGTTGTGAGGGGTATGTTCTCAATCCAAACTAATTGAAATACCATCTATTCTAATTAGGTAGCTGATTGCTTGTTATCTTTTTTATACAAAGTTAATTTCACATCAATAAAGAGGATGATGCATTCCCTTGATTGATATTTATATAGAAGCTATTGATTTTGGTTTCATTTTTTTTTTCCTTTCTTTCCATGATATACATCTAGCATTTGAAGATGAAGAGTCTGAAGATACCTAAAAGCTGAATCTATTGTGAAACTACTTCTATAGATGCTGGAAACCAAATGCAAGACATGTAGCTCAGTGATGAGTTTTGGTTGTTAAGTTAATGCTAAAGAACCAGAGTGGTGTTGAATAAAAGCATTACTTTGTACTTTCATTATTACATGACCCATGAATTCTTAAGTATATATATGCTTGGAGTGTGTGTGATCAGTAACATGAATCCTCTATTGAACAAATCAACCGAGGTTTCACCTTTAAATAATGTTTAAGTGATTCTGTTGAAGTGGCTTCGTATTGTCATGTATTCATGTATGAAAGAATATATAGTTAGAGTGGTGTTTTTGTTTGGATATTATATACCAATCACAATTAAATTTTTATCTTAATGTTGGATTCAGGAGCATCACATTGATGTTTTAAGCTTCATTTACATAAGCATTTTAGTTACTTCAGTAATGTGATTTTAATTATATGTTTGTGAAAAGGTACAGACTAAGTATATGTTGTCATCAGTTTTGGATCATTGCATTTTGCATTTGATTTAATCATATTTATACAGACTTTCCATGTTAAAAAAAAATGTTAAAAATGTCATCAACAGTGGATAAATGTAAAGGATATAGGAAACATATTCTGCTTGCAAAGTCACATCTACCAGTTTTTGTCATTTTCTTATTGCGATCGAAGTTAGTCCCCTCTTGGAAATGCACTCAGGTTGAAAAAAAGCCTATTTTTAAGATTAATATCATGAATTTCTACGTTGCATTAGGGTGTACAATGAAACTTTACTGAGTGGTACGAGCACTAACTAGAAAGAATTGCAAGATGGGTAGGTTTCTGATCTCTTTTGGACCAATTTATGCCCAATTGATGAAGTCATAATTTAGTTCAACGACAGGCAAGAACGATATTGATCTATAGATTAGTCGAAGAAATTCCGGTTTCTTTTAGACTTGTGAAAGGAAATCTGATGTTTAAACCTATCCAGAAAAGCTCTTTTCTGCACCCTTCCTAGAGGAAATAAATAAGGTATTTGGAAAGCAAATCAGTAGCTGGGATCTTGGGAAGTTGAGCTAACTAGGTTCGGGAAGTTCCAGTAACTCTTCTTGAGTCTTCTATCTCCGCATCTCACATCTATGAGAAGACTCATGAGATGGACCAACAATGCATAAGCAAACTACAGACTGATCCTTTCATTTGGCATAGACTTGTGATTAACCATGGCTTATCATTGTCTTCAATTCTTTGTTTTATCACTTTTGCTG